GCACATTGAAAGCCAGTCACTCTTTGACAGTTTCACTTTTAACTCTGCTTCCCATTTGGACTTTATATATAATGAGTTATTCCCATTTCGTTTTTGTAGGCTTTTATAAAGTTTAGATACAACTTTTATTGGGGTTTTCGTGTAAGCATCTACAAAGAGCTGAATCAACTCATTTCCCTCTGGTGATAATTCTTTCTCAACCTCATTGGTATAGAAGTGTCTTAGCTGCAGGTATCTGAAGAAATCTCTGCTATTCAGCTCAAATTCTCTTCTGATTTTATTGAATGTTTTAAATGTTTTTCCTTCTACTAGTGTGCTGATAGCTGTTATCCCCTTTCTACTCCAATCTATAAATGTGCTATCAGAGTCTTTTGGTTTAAATCTCTTTGACTGAGGGGGGCACATTAATAGTTTACTATCCCCTTCTGATTTGTATTTTTTAAGTACTTCATACCATATTTTAAGAGTTTCTTCTAAAATTGTGTTTTCTGAGGTTTTACTTATTCTTTCTTTTTCTCCAAGCCTGTTTTGTAATTGTATTTGGGATATGTTTAATTCTATTTGTTTCCATTTGGCTTCGTATTCAGGAGAACACCAGTTGATTACGTATCTTAGTTGTGCAGCATAATAATATTCTTTAAAGTTAGGGAGTGCTAAGCCACCATTTGTCTTATCTAGTTGAAGAGTCTTAAATTTCACTCTCGGTCTTTTACCTGCCCAAATAAACCTAGATATTTGTTGGTTCCACTTATTAAACTGAGTTTCTGCAATCTTAAATGGTATTGATAGAAAGAGGTATAGTAATCTAGGCAGTATATTCATCTTAATTATTTCTATTCTCGAGCTAAAATCCAGTAATAACTTTGACCATTTCAAGAAATCTCTTTGTATTGTATTGTTAATTGTGGAATAGTTAGTTTCCTGAATTTTGTCCAGATCTTGCATAAGTGTGATTCCCAGGTATTTAATTGATTTATTTTCCCATTTAAGTGTGTACCTTTGTCTAATTTCCTTACTTGGAGTATAGTTCAGTGGTAGCAGCTGTGTTTTTGAGATATTAATTTTATATCCTGACGCGTCCAGGTTGGATTTTAAAGCTCCTGCAGTCCTCTCCGGGTGCAGCACAGCCTCAGACCGCCTCTAGCCGATACGTTAGGAACCAGAGGAGCGGCTGTTCGGCTGAAGAGCGGCCATGTTGTCGTACCTTTTTCATTGCTGTAGCAAAACCTATCCAGCGCCAACTTCACGGCTATCTTGACTTCCTCGTCGATGTGAATGGCTTTGGGCTCCCTGGAGCCCTTGGAGGACATGTTGTGACGGCGGGCCTGGTTCTTGGGGGCCTCTGTCGGCTTAAACATGGTGCGCTGCAAAACAAAAACACAAGTTAATGGAAGTTTTTAACCGCCAAGACTGTTGGCTGATAGAATCAGAGGAAAAATTCTGTTAAAAACAGGATTACAGGCCGAGCATCAAACACTGCCGCCAATCAGCTTCATCCTGGTCCCACAGCTTTATGAAACTCCAATGCAGGGGTGCTCAAGTCCAGTCCTCAAGAGCTACAATCCTGTAACTTTTAGATGCATCTCTTCTCTAACACCTGAATCCAAAGGCTCAATCCCCTCATTTAGCCCAGCAGAGGTGTGGTAATGAGCCACTCATTTGATTCAGGTGTGTTAAAAATGGGGTGCATCAAAAAGTTGCAGGATAGTAGCTCTTGAGGACTGGACTTGAGCACCCCTGCTCCAATGGATCTCTGAAATCTGGATGATATCTACAGAATTTCAGGATAAAATGAAAGTTCAGCTGCTGCAGGTGAGAAGAGACGTTCTACTGCCCTCCTGTCCTCATCTGAAGGCCAAACCACTGATCATTTGTGAACTCTGTGCAGCAGATGGATCAGAATGTTGATTATGTGCCACTTCTCTCTGCAGCCTTTATGTTATTCACATGTTTGAAAGCCAAATAGCCCTGTCCAGGTTTCTTCTGGCCTCCTGGGTTTTAACCAGAACCAGGCCTAACAGCAGCAACGGATCCAAAGGACAGATTGGATTCTGGGTAGGATTCAATCTTCTTCCTAACCCGTTTCACAACATTTAGCCATTCTGCTTTAAATAAGCATCAGTTCTCTATTCGTTTAACTTTGTTTATTGCCCAAATCAGATTGAAACCAAACATAAACTGGATCAGTCTGATGATTTATCATTCAGGGATTATTCAGTGCTTTCATTTAAAAGGTTGAAACTATTTTAAGTGAATATTTAGCTCCTGTTATGAGATGAGCCGAGGCTTTGAGCCATATGTGTGGAGGGGGCGTTTCCCCGAAGTGTGTATCAAGACTTGCTTCATTTAGGGGAGGAGCCAAAATCAATGACGCCTGAAGCCTTGCTACGCTGCCCTACCAGGTGACAGGTTCGAGAAGCGGTTCAGCTCGCCCACAACTTCAGCAGGCATTTAAGCAGCCTGAATATTCAGTCAAGATGTGGGAGTTTGGAGGAGAGCTGCTGTCAGCTGGATAGATTCTAAGATTGGTACCTAGATTGGTTGGACAAGCAACCAATCTAGTTGGTTAAAACTAGTTTGGTTAGATGAAACAATATAATAATCAGAATTTGAACAAAACACTAGTTTCATTAGTGTGGTTAGCGTTTAGTATTCACTAAAATGAGATAAAACGGTGAACATTAAAATATTGCTCTGAGACACTGTAACCACAAAAAAACTTACCAAAGGATTTTATTATACACACCAATCACTGACAATTTCAAAGAAACATAAATGGAGAAAAAACAACAATTGCAAAAAAATCCCAGATTATATTACTAACTGTAGTTCCGCACTCCACCAGTAGGTGGCGACATGTTCAATGAGGCTTCATCTCAGCTTCACTGCCTCTTTAAATGTCCCTGCAGGACAACAATCTGCACAACTCATTTAGTTCTACAGGAAAAATGTAAAATATGATGTAAAAATACACACCTTTTAGTTTTACTATCAATATAGATACATACACTGATAAAAACCGGCTTATATTAAGTATTTATTGGGCTGAACAGGTGTCTAATTTAGCTGGACCCAACCAGAACCAGGAGTGGAAATAAATAAAAAGTTTGATTCTGTTAACATGAAGCAGGAGAAACATAAGCAGCTAACTGGACCGAAGCGCTCCTTCAAGTTCTGATGATGACTTTCATTTCACTGCTATCGAAACTTAAAACGAACTGAGAAACCGGCTTAAAACTAGCTAACCGGCGGGGAAGCAGCACCGGGAGTCGGCCGGTCCATCCCCGGACCGGTACCGGCCTCCTGCTGTCGGTGTTTGGGGGACGTACCTCGGAGAAAAACGTCTGAGCAGCTTCCTCTGGTGCATCTCACTCTAGCCGTCAGGTCTGACCGCTTCAAACCGGCTGATCCGGAAGTGGAAGCTACAGCACATCCGGTCGGATCCCTTCAGAATAAAAGACTCGTGTGTGAAGTCAGAGGAGAAGCGCATAAAATACATGAAAACAAAAATACTCTTTATTGTTTTGTCATCACATAATTATAGTTCTATATTTCTTCCTTGTACTATAGGTAGCTTGTGTTTTTTTTTTGTCTTTCACATTTTGCTACTTTAAAAAGGACCCTTTCTGCTATCAGCAAAGTTCTAAATAAAGTTTAACAGAAAGAAAAAGGAGCTCATAAAATATATCCGCTCACAATGAGCCTGGTTCTGCTGGAGGTTTCTTCCTGTTCAAAGGGAGTTTTTCCTCTCCACTGTCGCTACAAGCATGCTTAGTGTGAGGGATTGCTGAAGAGTCAATGAGTCGATGCAATCAGCTGGTTTTCCTTAGATAGAAAACTTTGAATCAATCTGAATGGATGATCTGGTGAACTAGAAAGTGCCTTGAGATGACATGTGAATTGGAGCTATAGAAATAGACTGAATAGAATTGAATTGACTTCATAATTTCAAAACTCCCCTTAGAATTATCAGACTTCTAGAATCCAGTCTTCCAGACCAGTCACCAGCTTCTTCTCTCCTGACATGGAGTTTCTGACTGTTAACTGCAGACCGTTCTATCTACCCAGAGAGTTCAGTGTGGTTAGCATCACTGCTGTTTATGTGCCCCCCAGCGCTAACACTAAAGAGGCCATGAAGACTCTATACCAGGCTATCTCTGAGCTCCAATCTGCACACAGAGGCTGTTTCCATCATTGCTGGGGATTTTAACCAGGCTAACTTGAAGACTGTTCTCCCTCATTTCTACCAACATGTGGACTTTGCAACTCAGGGTGAAAACCCTTTAGACCTGGTTTACTCTAACATCAAAGATGCATTCAGAGCAGCCCCCCGCCCCCACCTCGGTTCATCAGATTCCCTGTCTGTCATGCTTATCCCTGCATATTAGCCCAAGTCAATCAGGGCTAAACCGACAGTTAAAGAAGTCAGAGTGTGGTCTGAGGGCGCCATGGAAACACTCCAAGTCTGTTTGAATGCTCTGACTGGAACATCTTAAATCTCAGTCTAAGTCATAATGTCTCCCCCCCCCCATGCATGAAGCTGGTGCTGAGCTGGACAGCTCCTTCAGTGACAGACTGCTGCACTGTAAATCCACCAGGGAGCGTTATCACAGATCCTGAAATTACGTAATGAACATGAAATATCCTATTGCTCTTTTACTCATTTTATTTTGAAATATCTATTTTTTGATCTGTTAAATATCGTCTTTATTTCAGGAAGTTGCTCCTGCTCTAAATAGCAGCAGAGCTAAGATTTACTAAAAGAAAGAGTCAGCGTATTTTTAAGCTTCAAACTTTATATCCTGAAATTAGAAAACTGCTAAAAGCCAAACAGAAGAAAAAAAATAGAATTAGAAATATAGAATCACATCAAAGATAGACCTTTTTAGAAACTATTCAACATTTCTTTTTATTTTAAATGCATCCCTGTCCACTGAAAGAAAAAAAAAAACAGGCTGAAAAAATGACAGTTTATGTCTAAAACAATGTGTTAGAGGAAATACAAGAAAGAAACGCGTTTATTCAGTAAAAAACCAACAAGAAGTTATCAGAAACATTAAAATCAGAATGACGAAAAACATCAAAACTGCAAACATCAGAATCAGGTGTGAGCGTTTAGAAGTTCATAATCTTGGCTTTTATTAGAGGTAAGAAATATTATTCAATCCTAAAATCCTAAATTTGATGCCGAGTAAAAGCCAGGTTTCTGTTCTCGTCATTTCATCTTTGGTGCCTTCCAAAACAACCGGGTTTAAAATCCTTTACGGTTTATTTTAGTCCAGATGGAACACATGTTCATATATGACGAACCTACAGGAAGGTTGCAGAACAGGAAGCCTTGCTTCTAACAGGTCTGCTACATCATCAGTCAGGTAAGGAAAGACAGCGCTCTCTTCATGGTTGGAGAAATATCCGAGTTTCCAATGGAAATGTGGGCGCAGGTCTAGGAAGGCCAAGAGGAAAGGAGCTACCAAAGTATCTTAATCCATGAAGATTAAAAAGTCCCAAAGGAAAGATTCTGATGAGCTTCAGTAATCAAAGCATTTCATGATGGCGTCTCTGTCAAATTTAAAATTCAGGAAAGTCTTGGAGGAAAACGACTCTCTGTCCTCAGCTGTTAGATGGCGACTGGAACAGATTGGATCCGAGTCTGGAAGAAAAAAGGAGGTAATTTCGACTAAAATTCAAAACCATCATTTCTAACTGAGATAATGTCCCTAACAAACCGCAGCTCTGAGGATATCCATATTTTTAGGCCCCAAAATGGCCCCCAATAACGCACCTACTATAGTCTTCAACATGGCCGACAATGACAACCCTTACATGGCCCCCAATAACGCCCCTGGATCTAACTTGTATGTTAGATCTAGTTCCAACCAGGTTATTTAAGGAGGTATTCCCTTTGATCTCCTCCTCCATTTTAGATGTGATTAATCTATCTCTGTTACAGGGATATGTACCTAAAGCTTTTAAGGTTGCTGTAATTAAACCTCTGCTTAAGAAACCGTCTCTTGACCCAGATGACTTGGTCAATTATAGACCTATATCCAATCTTCCTTTCTTATCCAAAATTCTTGAGAAAGTAGTTGCCAAACAAGTTTGCGATCACTTCCACCATAATGAACTTTTTGAAGAGTTTCAGTCTGGCTTTAGAGCTCATCATAGCACATGTGTTGTGAATTTGGCGCTATATAAATAAACTGAATTGAATTGAATTGAAACAGCTCTGGTGAAAGTCACTAATGATATTCTCATGGCCTCAGATAGTGGACTTGTATCTGTGCTCGTCCTGTTGGATCTTAGTGCTGCATTTGATACAGTTGATCATAATATTCTTTTAGAAAGACTTGAATATTTTGTTGGAATTAAAGGAACAGCTCTAGACTGGTTTAAATCTGATCTATCTGATCAAATTCAGTTTGTTCATGTTAATGATAGATCTTCAACACGCTCAAAGGTTACCTGTGGAGTACCACAGGGATCAGTGCTAGGACCAATTCTCTTTACTTTATACATGCTCCCAATTGGTAGAGTTATTAGACAGCATGGGATTAATTTCCACTGTTATGCTGATGATACCCAGCTATATCTGTCTATAAATCCAGATGAAGCTAACCCATTACATAGATTACAGGCATGTCTTAAAGACATAAAAACCTGGATGACTCTTAACTTTCTGCTTCTGAATGCAGACAAAACAGAAGTTATAGTCTTTGGACCAGAGTCTCTGAAAAAGAAGCTGATTAGTCAGTCACTTCATCTGGATGGGATTAAACTGATTTCAGATAATAAAGTAAAAAATCTTGGTGTTATTTTTGATCAGGACCTGTCATTTAAATCCCAGATCAAAGAGGTTTCTAGAATTTCCTTCTTTCATCTGAGGAACATTGCAAAAATGAGCAATCTCCTGTCCAGGGGTGATGCTGAGAAACTAGTCCATGCATTTGTTACTTCAAGGCTGGACTATTGTAATTCTTTACTATCAGGAAGTCCACAAACTGTAGTTAAAAGCCTTCAGCTGATCCAAAATGCTGCAGCCAGAGTTCTGATGAAAATGAAAAAGAGAGATCATATCTCTCCTATCCTGGCTTCTCTTCATTGGCTTCCTGTTAAATCCAGAATAGAATTTAAAATCCTCCTTCTCACATATAAAGCCTTAAATGGCCAAGCTCCATCTGATATCAGAGATCTGATTGTTCCTTATGTTCCTAACAGAGCACTTCGCTCTCAATCTGCAGGTTTACTAGTGGTTCCTAGAATTTCTAAAAGTAGAATGGGACGCAGATCTTTTAGTTATCAGGCTCCTCTCCTGTGGAACCAACTACCAGTTTTAGTCCGTGAGGCAGACACCCTGTCTACTTTTAAGGCTAGGCTTAAAACTTTCCTTTTTGATAAAGCTTCTAGTTAGAGTGGCTCAGGTTATCCTGATCTATATCTATAGTTCTGCTGCTATAGGCTTAGACTGCTGGAGGACATAGGGACCCCTTTTTCATCATTCTGCTTCATTCTATCTCTATTCTCCCACTCTGCAGAATCTGTTAGTTCAATCTCTAACGTTCTGCTCTCTCTGCTTTTTCTCATAGTAGCTTCATCTGGTCTGTTCCTGTTTGGCTGTGACTCCATCCTGGAGAGAAATATCAGCTGTGCTGCTGCCATCAACACCTTTGTTTCTAGATGTTGGATCTTGGCCTGTTTTCCAGTGTAGTCCTGTTTCTCTGACTGTGACTAACTGGATGTGCTCTCTTCATCCTCTGACATGGGAGCTGACTCGGAGCTCGTCTGCCTGGCTGTGTGTTTCCTGGACGGGGCCGCCTGTGGAGCTGGTTGACAGTTGCCTTTTGTATCTATGCTTCTTTTTCTATGTCTGCTTCTGTCTCCTTGAACCCCAGTCGGCCTCGGCAGATGGCCGCTCACACTGAGCCTGGTTCTGCTGGAGGTTTCTTCCTGTTAAAAGGGAGTTTTTCCTCTCCACTGTCGCTACAAGCATGCTTAGTGTGAGGGATTTTATTTGAGTCAATGACTCAATGCAATCAACTGGTTTTCCTTAGATAGAAAACTTTGTATCAATTTGACTGTATGATCTGGTTGAACTGTAAAGTGCCTTGAGATGACGTGTTGTGAATTTGGCGCTATATAAATAAACTGAATTGAAAAATAAACTGAATATAGTCCTAACATGGCCCCCAATAACGGCCCTAATAACGTCCCATCATGACCCCCAATGACACCCCTAACATGGCCCCCAATAACGTCCCTAATATAGTCCCCACATGGCCACCAATGACACCCCTAACATGGCCCCCAATAACAGCCCTAATAACGTCCCATCATGACCCCCAATGACACCCCTAACATGGCCCCCAATAACGTCCCTAATATAGTCCCCACATGGCCACCAATGACACCCCTAACATGGCCCCCAATAACGTCCCTAATATAGTCCCCACATGGCCACCAATGACACCCCTAACATGGCCCCCAATAACGTCCCTAATATAGTCCCCACATGGCCACCAATGACACCCCTAACATGGCCCCCAATAACGTCCCTAATATAGTCCCCACATGGCCACCAATGACACCCCTAACATGGCCCCCAATAACGTCCCTAATATAGTCCCCACATGGCCACCAATGACACCCCTAACATGGCCCCCAATAACGTCCCTAATATAGTCCCCACATGGCCACCAATGACACCCCTAACATGGCCCCCAATAACAGCCCTAATAACGTCCCATCATGACCCCCAATGACACCCCTAACATGGCCCCCAATAACGTCCCTAATATAGTCCCCACATGGCCACCAATGACACCCCTAACATGGCCCCCAATAACAGCCCTAATAACGTCCCATCATGGCCCCAAATCACACTCCTAACATGGCCCCCAATCACACCCCTACCATGGCCCCCAATGACACCCATTACATGGCCCTCAACATGGCCCCCAATGACACCCCAAACACGGCCCCAAATAACACCCCTAATATAGTGCCAACATGGCCCCCAATAACGCCCCTAATATAGTCCCAATATGGCCCCCAATGACACCCCTAACATGGCCCCCAAAAACGCCCCTAATATAGTCCCAACATGATCCCCAATAATGCCCCTAATATAGTCTCAACATGCCCCCCAATAACAGCCCTAACATGGCCCCCAAAAACGCCCCTAATATAGTCTCAACATGCCCCCCAATAACGCCCCTAATATATTCCCAACATGGCCCCCAATGACACCCCTAACATGGCCCCAAATAACTCCCCTAATATAGTCCCAACATGGCCACCAATGACACGTTAATGACACCTTAAACATGGCCACTAACAAGGCCCCCAACAGGCTTCCCAGTTTAAGTGTGTTTTCTTCTTGACAAAAACATTGTTGGAATTAATGTGTCACTAGGAGGGTTGAGCAGAATATGACACCATGCTGGAGATGTCCTCTGCGTAGGGATGCACCGATATGACAGTCTGGGCCAATAAACATGTCAATATATCGAGCATCCCTGAATGCCAACATTAAAACCAGGCGTAACTGAGCAAAGAGACAGCAGGGCTGGGGGGCATCGGTGCACAGATGTAAACATGAGCTAAGCAGGGCTTCTGTGTTCATACCTCTTTCAAACATCTCTTGGAGACTTCTGGGATGAGGCCGTTTGTCTTCTTTCTGAAAAAAGCAGAGAGAAAAGCTTGCTTTATGCCCAGTCAACGCGTTCCACCTCCGATACTTGTTGTAGAAAGAAACGTTTAGCAGATTTCCTTTAATCCACAGTCAGCATGTTGGGCTCTTAAAAACTGTAGCAAAATAAGAAGAACTGCAGGAGCCCTTTTTCATCAACCTCTCTACAGAACTCTTCTTTAAGAAGCCGGGTCCAGATGAACCAGACTTCCTTTTTTCTGAGAGTTAAGATCTTCCAACGTTGGATGACAATGTTTTACTGTTTGCTTTGATACCGACCTGCTGGCTGGTGGATCCATTGTCCGTGGTTCCCTTCTTCACACTGGGGAAGTCCAGTCTCTTTTTGCCACCACCTTTCAGAACCAGCTTCTGCAGAGAGAACAGAAACCCTGAGCTGCAGATGTTGGACGTGGTATGACCCAAACTGTGATGGGAGAAGATGGCCAGGCTAGGCCTTCTCTCCAGAACTGTACCAGTGGACTCCTCACGTCTCTGACCTGGCTGGAGTCAGTCTGGGTCATCTTTCCTGGAGTCCTCAGCTGTTTGTGTTTGGTCCACCCCTCTCCAGGATACGCATCACTGCCAATAGGATTTCTGCTCTTTGACCTGAGACAGAAACGCAGCAAACATCTGGATCAGAGTGCTGAATGTGAAAGGACCAGGAGTGAGCCTTCAGGTCTGGACTCTGCTCCAACATTCAGCAGCTGACCGTAGCTGATTCCATTTTATTCTTTTCAGTTTATTTCTATAGCGCCAATTCAAAACACGTCATCTCAAGGCACTTTCCAGTTCACCAGATCATCCAGTCAGACTGACTGACTCTGCATAACTTCAAACCTGACTCTTTTCTGTTGCCATTGACAGATTTTATTTTCTATTTTCCTCCAAAGCGGATGTGTTCTCAGTTGGGGCTACGCTGCCCCCTGCAGGAAATCATCCCCAACGACTTTCAATCAGCGCTAAACGCCATGACCTCTAAAGAAGGATTTTCTGTTGGATTGGACGCAAAATTAGATTCGGTGTGTTCTGGGTTTTAGTGACCATGTTAGGGGGGTTATTGGGAGTCACGTTGGTGACTATATTCTATTCAGTTTATTTCTATAGCTCAAATTCACATCATGTCATCTCAGGTCACTTTCCAGTTCACCAGATCATCCAGTCAGATTGATTCAAAGTTTTCTATCTAAGGAAAACCAGCTGATTGCATCGACTCATAGACTCATTCAGCAATCCCTCACACTAAGCATGCTTGTAGCGACAGTGGAGAGGAAAAACTCCCTTTGAACAGGAAGAAACTTCCAAAGATGTTTGATGGGATCAAACATCTGTTTGTTGAGTGATCCATGTCCAAATTGATCAGGGCACCAACTGTTAACATGTGACAACACTCTGAACCCGTCTTTGACCTTAAGGTCGGAACCAACCGTAACCTGTTAGGGTGTATTTATCCATGTAGTCTGCTTTACTGCACCTCTGTCCAGCAGAATGCTACAGCATCCAGCTCCAGCAAACATTAGAGCAGGCTGCTGAACCACCACCATTAGCCAGGAGCAGCTGTCAGAGCAACTTCAGCCGTCTGTATTTACTGCTGATGAGGACTCACTGAAACCATGTTCACACCAATCAGCATTACAGCGACTGTGGTTCGGCTGACATACCTGTTTGCCTGGTGAATGACTGACGCCTCATCATTGAGAAGAACGTCTGTCTGCTGCTGACTGGTTTCATAGCGGACCAGTATGTTACTGAACCAGTCACAACGCTTTTATACGTTAAGGAAAGCTGAAGAGTGAACACCAGATTTATCCTGCTATAGGACGATCGCCCCGACAACAGAGGTAAGATGAGCTCAAACAGAGTAAAGGAGAACAGAGGAAGAACCTGGCCAGAGACGACGGCTGACTGAAAACAAAGACGTTTCCAACAATCTCTTCTTCCGAGTGATATTTTCAAGAGGGCTCTAGATGTTTAGATGTTTCTGAACCCTCGTCAGAACCAGCTGATGCTCGTCCATCAGGTTTTTTTAAAACATGGGAAATCCTTTGAAGGTCCCATAAAAAACACCAGCCGCCTAACAGGAACAACCAACCAGTTTGGTCATGAAAACAAGAAGCCACTGAGATGTAAAGGAATAAAATAAAAAAAGACCTCCTCAGATAATTTTACCGGATGTTGTCCGAAGGTTTGGATGGAGTGGTCCTGGTGTTTGCCAGTTCCTCATCGCTGTCTGATTCCCCCCTCAGTCTGCTGATCCAGTCTTTCAGAGGCCTGTGGAGGAACAAAAAGTCGCATCAGCAACTAGAAACCATGACCCTTTCACCTTTTTGACCATTCAGATTTTTTTGCCCATATGCCCTGATCCCGTTCTTTCCAATGCGACCCAGGCCACTTGGCTATGTGGACCTGAATCCGATACAAACCAAGTCTTTTAAATGCGACCTGTGTCTGAACGGCCAGGTCGCATTCATCCAACCTCAATGCCATTAATACTCGACAAAGGTCACTTTTCTGTGTCTTGCTATGCAGAAGCGGGAAGAAAAACAACAACAATGGGGGATGATGATGTGGAGGGCAGTCTTTATTTTTAACCATCTTGAAAAGATTAAGTTTTTAAGGTTGGCAAAGATTGCTAGAGGAACTCCAGCACTACCATCCATGTTGTGACATCATTGTGTCCTCTACTGTGCATGCAGGACACTTAAGCCTGGTTTATGCTCAGAAACCAGGTAATCTGCGATCAGATAGGCCCCTCCCCCTTCCATAGACATTCTGGTGCACCTCTGCAAAATTGTAGGTGACCGCAGACAGGAGGCCTCTGATTGGTCAAATCTCCATCCGCTCCACACTATTAGTGTTTCCTGTTTGGTAACTAATGGCAGAAACTCTGGCTGTAGGGCCGTCCACAATGCCTGGAACACCTCGGACTCTATCCCAGACACCGTGCAGGACGCTAGTTTGTAGCTCTGTACAACGCTCTGTTGGTTTGAACTAGGGCTGCAACAACGAATCGATAAAATCGATAAAAATCGACTTTTAAAAGCGTTGGCAACGAATTTTATCATCGATTAGTTGTGTCGTGCGATTAATGCGTCATCCGCAAGAGGTTAATATAAAAAAATTTTTTTTGTCCGATTCATCGATTAATCGAAAAAATAATCGGCCGATTCATCGATTTTTAAAATAATCGTTAGTTGCAGCCCTAGTTTGAACCCAAACCCAAAACATGCAGCCACATGGTGTGGTTGGAAAATTTTGATTTCTCTTAATTCATATATTAATTTATCCTATTTACTCAATATAAAAGTTTTAACTCAGTCCGTTTCCCCTACAAGGGCCCAAAATTCGCAAAAAGTAAAACAAAACAGATTCTTTCTCAGGTTTATTCATAACATGTTATTGTGTCTGTAATTTGTTTTGACTCTGACTACTTTCCATTATTGTAAGTAAGTTACAATACAAGTTGCATATATATGAAAATGTGAACGGAAACGCAAAGAAAAACATATTTCATAAGAAAATGTGACTCGAGCATCAAGGCCTGCCGTGTAAACAGGCCATCAGATACGACCCTAAAACTTATTTACTTTTAGACTCGGAGGGGAACAGAATAAATGACTTAGGGTCAGCAGGCTGCGGTCGTCAGACTACAGCAGTAAATACGCCGGACGAGTAACAGCGTGTTATCGCAGCAAAGCGGCATACGTGCAAATGTTTGAAAGCTGAGATCTACACCAGATGCTGAAGAGAATGCTCCACAGTGTCTGGTTCAGCAACTAGGATCCGAGCGAAGGCCAGCTGTGACCTCGTAAGTTAATCAAACATTATTATGTGTGAAAGTTATGAATTTATAAAGTATAAATATATGATCACAGAAAAATCTGCATCTTAAGCTTAAGATGCGTTCATACAGCTTAAGTGTCCCAGAGGTGCAATGGCATCACAATTGAGGATGCTCTGTGTTCACAGTAGAAAACATGGATGGCAGTGCTCTACCATCCAGCCATCTTTGGTTCCTTTCAAACTGGAACCAGCGCATTGACAACGCAACCTCCTCCAGAACCTCTCCTCATCTTCATGGTTGTTTTTCTCCCTGTTTCTGCGTTGCAAGCTGCAGCATACTGATCTTAGTTGAGTATTAATGACTTTCAGTGGGGATGAATCCGACCTGGCCGTTTAGACACAAGTCGCAGTAGAAAGCAGGAGATACGTATCGGATTCAGGACCACAGAGCCAAGTGGCCTGGGTCGCATTGGAAAGAAACAGATCTGAGTTGTTCAGACTGAATTTCATGAAACGGTCAGATTCAGGTCACATATGGGCCAAAACCATTGGATTTTGGGGACTTCAGGCTGCTGTGTGAACGTAGCCTTACTGGAACTACATGTAAACTGTTGATACCTGATGAATGGGATAGCCATGAAAAATCGATTAGGAGCCAGTCCGAGTTTAGACCTGGGGGTCATGTCATTCCGGTGGCAGGGCAGCTTCTCGATAGGAAACCATTCAATGTTCTGAAAATCAAACAAAGAGATTTAGCCTCTGTCTGAAGAACAGGGAGTGAGGAAGCAGCTGAAACGACGCCTACTCGGATCTCTTTGCGCGTCTTGGGGTTGAACTTGGTGTCCTTTGAGACTCCCGGTATGATATAAAGCCGGACAAGCTGGTCCGTGATCTTCTGCTCGATGAACATGTCTTTGCAGATGCGGTTCTTTATATCAAAGCCTGTCTCCTCCAGAACCTGCAGAACAGTCAGTAGACCCACTTGAAGCACAGATCAGAGATGTTTCCATGGTGATAAACCAAACCAGCTGGTGACTCACTTCCCGAACAGCGCAGTCATGAGGAGCTTCATCCTCGTTCACTTTCCCCTTTGGAAAGCCCCAGCCAGATTTGGCAAGGTAGCCTTGAACAAGCAGTACCTGAAAGTACAAGCTGTAGTAGTTACTACACTCACCCCCAAAGGCTTGGAAAGCCTGAGAAAAGACTGATTCAGAGTCTACAGACCGCCTAAAACACGGGGCCTTAAACAGGTCTCACTATGGTGCCCCAAAAAACAATGGAGAGACGGGGCAAAGACCCCCAATTATGTCCAGCAGGGCTGACCCCAGTTACCACAAAAATGGATACTACAGACTGACCCTGGATACTACAGACTGACCCTGAATACTAAAGACTGACTCTGGATACTAACAAACCGACACTGGATACTCCAGTCTGACCCTGGATACTACAGTCTTACCCTGGATACTACAGACTGACCCTGAATACTACAGACTGACCCTGAATACTACAGACTGACACTGGATACTACAGACTGACCCTGGATACTAACAAACCGACACTGGATACTCCAGTCTGACCCTGGATACTACAGTCTTACCCTGGATACCGACCCTGGATACTAACATTCCGACCCTGGATACTACAGTCTGACCCTGGATACTACAGTCTTACCCTGGATACTACAGACTGACCCTGAATACTACAGACTGACCCTGAATACTAAAGACCGACCCTGGATACTAAAGACCAACCCTGGATACTAACAAACCCACCCTGGATACTACAGACTGACACTGGATACTACAGACTGACACTGGATACTAACAAACCGACACTGGATACTACAGACCGACCCTGGATACTAACATACCGACCCTGGATACTAACATACCGACCCTGGATACTAACATACCGACCCTGGATACTAACATACCGACCCTGGATACTAACAAACCGACACTGGATACTACAGACTGACCCTGGATACTAACAAACCAACACTGGATACTACAGACCGACCCTGGATACTAACATACCGACACTGGATACTACATACTGACCCTGGATACTACAGACCGACCCTGGATACTACAGACTGACCCTGGATACTAACAAACCGACACTGGATACTACAGACTGACCCTGGATACTAACAAACCGACACTGGATACTACAGACTGACCCTGAATACTAAAGACCGACCCTGGATACTAAAGACCGACCCTGGATACTAAAGACCGACCCTGGATACTAACAAACCGACACTGGATACTAACATACCTACCCTGGATACTACAGACCGACCCCGGATACTAACATACCGACCCCGGATACTACAGACTGACCCTGGATACTAACAAACCGACACTGGATACTAACATACCTACCCTGGATACTACAGACCGACCCTGGATACTAACATACCGACCCTGGATACTACAGACTGACCCTGGATACAACAGACCGACCCTGGATACTACAGACTGACCCTGGATACTAAAAAACCGACACTGGATACTAACATACCGACCCTGGATACTACAGACTGACCCTGGATACAACAGACCGACCCTGGATACTAAAAAACTGACACTGGATACTAACATACCGACCCTGGATACTAACAAACCGACTCTGGATACTAACAAACCGACTCTGGATACTACAGACTGACCCTGGATACTACAGACTGACCCTGAATACTAAAGACCGACCCTGGATACTAACAAACTGACCCTGGATACTAACAAACCGACTCTGGATACTACAGACTGACCCTGGATACTACAGACTGACCCTGAATACTAAAGACCGACCCTGGATCCTAAAGACCGACCCTGGATACTAACAAACCCACCCTGGATACTAACAAACCCACCCTGGATACTACAGACTGACACTGGATACTACATACCGACCCTGGATACTAACAAACCGACACTGGATACTACAGACTTACCCTGGATACTACAGACCGACCCTGGATACTAACAAACCCACCCTGGATACTACAGACTGACACTGGATACTACATACCGACCCTGGATACTAACAAACTGACACTGGATACTACAGACTGACCCTGGATACTAACAAACTGACACTGGATACTAACATACCGACCCTGGATACTAACAAACCCACCCTGGATACTACAGACTGACACTGGATACTACATACCGACCCTGGATACTAACAAACCGACACTGGATACTACAGACTTACCCTGGATACTACAGACCGACCCTGGATACTAACAAACCGACACTGGATACTACAGACTTACCCTGGATACTACAGACCGACCCTGGATACTAACAAACCGACACTGGATACTACAGACCGACCCTGGATACTAACAAACCGACACTGGATACTGCAGACCGACTCTGGATACTACAGCCTGACATTGGATACTACAGACTGACCCTGGATACCATTCACTAATCCTGGATACCATTCACTGATCCTGGATACTACAGACCGACCCTGGATACTACAGCCTGACACTGGATACTACAGACTGATCTTGTATAATTCAGATTGATCCTGGACAGACTGAGCCCAGGTACCACAAACTGACCTTCAAATGCTAGAGACTGATCCTGGACACCACAGACTGACCCTGGATGCTGTAGACTTATCCTGGATACTAAAGACTGACCTTTTTTAGGCCCCCATGTATCAACATCATATATTTTCTTTACAATAAAAGGTGTAACTTTAGCAACTGTTTGGCATTAGCCACACGCCAACTATGAGGCCTCCACAGAGTTGAACACCTAGCTATGGACTGCTAGCATTGGTCCATGAATGAAAAATGAATCTAAATGAGGTTAATTATAAAATGGACATGGAACAGGAAAACTAGCAGAGCTCTTCATCCATCCTACCTTTGGTACGCAGAAGGTTACTCTGATTTGTGTCTGAATGTAAAATTAACTCACATTCTCCAGAGATTCATCTAGAATGATGGCTCCATAGGTGGGAACCCCCATCTTGTACTCCTTCCATTCCTCAAGGACCTTCTGCACATCCTCTCCATGTGGCAGCAGAAAAGGACAATGATGGAAAAGTTTAAAGCCGTCAAGGAATAGATACACATCTCCATGAATACCAACAGCAGGTTCCTCCCACCGTTGATCAGACCCCAGAGAAGAACAGATCAACCAGCCTAAAGCTACGTTCACACCAGACGTGCTTGTCCACATTAAGGTCAGGCGTCCAGTAAAGTGAGTCCAGATGCTTCTGCTGCTCCTGTGTTCGATGCCAGAGAGCAGCTTTGCTATATTAGCTGTGATCAGCGGGTAGAAAGTAGTTAGAATCTATGTTGAAGTGAGAAAGTCCTCCTGAAAACATGGTCTGTGCAGTCAGTTCATCCAGATTACCATCCTGCCTTCAAAGATTATTTCTCTGTGGGAGCCGCTCAGACCCCCACATACGGCGCTGCGCTGTCACTGGGAATCCCCAGCAGCAGCTGCCTCAGGCCCGCTCGCCTCTTGGGGGTTTTCCCCTCCTGTTGGTGGCGGCTGGAAGTAGATGTTATGCTGCGTTCACACCGGACGCAGCAGAAGCAGCGAGTTTACATGCAAAGTCAAAGGCTGACGTGCGTTAAGGTGCAGCAAAAGGTCCCGCAGCGCGTTTTGAGCAGCTGAAGCAGCGCGTCGGGAGCGTTTAAGCATCTGACGTGCGCGGCGCGCCGCAAACACGCTGCTGCTCGAGATGGAAAAATTGAATTTTTGCTGCTCGACGCGCCACATCAACCAATGAGAGAAGCTGATCTGGGAGCTGGCTGGGAGAGGGACACAGCACTGCTGATGCAGAGCGCTATGATCCCTCCACTGAAACAGTTTATTGACGCATTAATTAACTTAAAATGAAGAAATCTGCCGGCAGAATGTGTTCGCTTTATTATCCTGCTGCCTGCAGTTTGGATTAAACACCTTCCAGCTGCCGCGGTGAACCGGGAAGAGGTGACCCGGCGAGAGGCTGCTGATGAAGGGATTCCTACTGACAGCGCACCGCTGGTATGTGGGGGTCTGAGCGGTTCCGACAGAAATAACATTGGAAGGCAGGATGGTAATCTGGATGAACTGACTGCACTGATTAAGTTTTCAGGTTTATTTTATCACTTAAAAACATATTAAAACAACTTTATTCCCACTGATCGCAGCAAATATAGCTGCAAGGCAGAGAAAGGATAGAGTAGCTCAGCAGGATATTAAAAGCCACCATATTCTGCCGGCAGGTTTCTACATTTGAATATATATATATATAAATTTTTTTTTACTACTTTTCAAGGCTGCACTTTAAAAAAAGATGAAATTGTCCAGAGAGCTGTTCCAAACTAAATTTCCTTTTTGTTTTACACTTGTGTAAAACAAAATGACAAATAAAATCTATCTAAGATGACTTGAAAGCAGGAAGAAGGAGAAGGGAAGTCCACTATTTCAGAATGATAAACTTCACTGCGCGTTGGCATTGGCAGAGAAACTGGCAGATGGATTAAAATTCAACAGGAAAACAGATAAAAATAGGAAAATACTGAGAGCAAACTATGTGGATGAGAAGATGTAACATACAGCAGAATGGGTTGTTGACTGTTTCTTTAATTTCGGGCAAAAGTTCCTGTGATGTTATGAGCCGGAAAGCTCTTGAACTCCAATACCCAGCATGCAATGGGGCGCGAGGTGTCACAGGTTGGAGGCTAGAGCGAGAGGGCAGTTCTGCATGTAGCTTGCTACTGAAAGGTTCTGTGGAAGTTTGGAAATAAATATACAGAACAAGTTTACACGCCTCGTCTGTTCTATATATATCTATATATATTCTAAGAACAACACAGTTCCAAAAATCTTTTGAGGAATCTGCCCCGGCTCAGCCGCCTGACCTCGGTGTGCAGCAGCAGATCAGTGTGGTCTGCACCTGCCTCCTCGAGCTGGGCGGAATAAACGCCTTTGAAAACTCCCGGCCCAAACAGAGCAAGCAATCTTCATCGCAACGTCCATGACATGCTTCATATTTAAAATCTTGCCGCACAGCTGTTGTTGCTCAATGATGCAGCGGTTGATCCAAAAATCCGGGAAAGTTTCAGACAGCTTGAACAGAGCAACGAATCCAGCAGTGCGCCCAACCATCATGGAGCCCCATCAGTTGTGATAGATGTCATGATCTCATGATCTCTGCAGATTCCTCTTCGCGCTTTAGAGTTCCTGGTAACAACCTAGCAACCATAGCAAACCATGCCCAGCAATCAACATGCAGAAAAAAAGGTTCCCTTTATACTTTTCATTTTATTATTATGAAAATAGACGTTGGCCTCTCGTGATCAATGATTTGATTAGTGTTTTTTAAAACAACTTTTTTGTTGTTGTTGTCATGGCCATATATAGGTCTACATTGTAAAATTTCTCGCGATTTCTCTGAAACTCCGCCCGCGATCGACTGGTAGATCGCGATCGACTGGTTGGGCACCCCTGATTTAGGCGTTAATAAACTGTTTCAGAGGAGTGATCATAGCGCTCTGCATCAGCAGTGCTGTGTCTGACTCCCTGCCAGCTCCCAGATCAGCTTCTCTCATTGGTTGATGAGGCGCGTCCAGCAGCTAAAGTTAAATTTTTCTAACTCTAGCAGCTGCTGCTTCTGAAGCGCTCATGAGGCTCATGCTGCTCTAGATGCTGCGGGACTTTTTGCTGCGTCATGATGAGCATCAACCATTGACTTTGCATGTAAACCAGCTGCTTCTGCTGCGTGCGGTGTGAATGTAGCATAAGCATAAAGGAGAACCACGGGATGCAGAGTAGCTGAACAGAAAACACATGGAAGGATATCAGCTTTGGCAAAGTCCCTGATTCCACACTGAGGCGCTCCTGGAGTGTTTTGGATGCAGAAGTCCAGATAGAACCAGTGGGCCAGCTCGATCTGGAAGCAGACACGGATGGCATTGTCTCGCTCCTCACTGGGGATGTGGAGGATGAACCGGCTGCAGAAAGACAAAGTATTCAGACCAGGAGGGGATTCACCATTAGGCAATACTTGACAGTTGCCTAGGGCCCCAAGTTCCTGGGAGCCCCATTAAACTCTGTTTCCATGTATGGTTAATGCAACTATTCCTTATTTGTTCACATTAATTATGTTTTTGATAAAAATCCTTTGGCTAAAATGCCATCAGAACTCTGATAATATTAAGTGTGTCTCAGCCCCCCCTTCAGTGTCCACCATATTGGATCAGTCCATTTGCTGCACATGTTCAGAAAGGTCCAAACAGACAGCAGCAAACCATTTGAAAACAAACCATGCAAAGAGCAGTGTTGCCAACTTAGCGCTTTAGTCGCTATATTTAGCCACTTTTCAGACCCCTCTAGCACTTTGATTTCTAAAAAGCTCCTAGCGCCAAATCTAGAGACTTTTTTCTGCTACTGGAGACTTTGGAGACAACATCTAAAAGCAGCGAACTCTGCTCTCCAGAGCCAGTAGATTGGTAACCCCGCCTCCTGCTCTCCTCTATCTTGTCTGCTGTCATGATTCATGCAGCTATTATTTCATCCAAATGAAAAATGGAGAACAGATAAGCAGATCATGGCTTGTCTACAGTGAAAAGAAGGACTGGGTTATTTACTTTGGCCTTTTTGGAAACACAGGAAGGAGCAATCAGCTCCTGCCTTGTAGAGCGAACCAAAAACAAAGCCTGGTTTTATTTAGAAAACATGCAAATAGAAACGGCTGAACGGGTCTACCCCTCTGGGATGGGAGTCGTTTAGCTTCTTTGTTAGCCTGCAATGCCCCATACCTGTCTATGTCTCTGAAAGGGGGGTCTTTAGAGGGAATAGTTGGCCTGGCTGAACAGGTGAGGTCTTCTGTTCCCCTGAAAAGGGGTTGGAGCTGCGATGAAAGCAGGAAGGAATCAACTCTATCGCTGAATTAAAGGTTTTTGGAAGCTGACATCTGAGCCCCCCCCCCCCCCGTTTAAGGGTCTCCCCTTTCAGAGACATAGACAGGTATTGGGTAGAGACTGACCCTGGATACTACAGACTGACCCTGGGAAGAGAAACGTTTTCAAACTTGGAAACAAAGTCCAGTGGATTGTTTTTAACTTTCTTGGAATGACTCTGACATGAATGACTGAGGATCTTCAGCAGTCCTTCACTGTCTTTACTGATTCAGTCTGTAGACTGTTCTTCTGGAGGAAGCTGTAGTTGTTCCAGGAACACTGAGGGTTTTACTGCTCATACTCTAGTAATTGTTGTAATTACCTGACAGACAGACAGACCAGCATCAGTCTGACCCACAGCGGGAATACAGACCGCCCTACCTGCACAGGTCGTCCAGGACACTTGAGGGGATTTCCAGTCGTTTGGTTTCCATGATGGCTGAAAATAATCCGGTTCGGCTTCAGAGCACAGCGGTACCAGACCCAGTTCGGTCACATTCCCGCTGGGGCTCCGGTTCGGCGGAGGCTGCTTCCGATTTTCCCACCAGGAACAGATCTACCCGGAGCCTGCTGCGCATGCGCGAGGCTGGACGTCTTCTTCTGGTGTCTGTCTGTGCGGAACTTTGCTGCCCCCTACAGGGCAGCAGGACTTCTAGCAGGAGAATAGAAATGGCTTCCTACAAATGAATCAAATTTTTCTGTTTTCTACCGCCTGGCAGCACAATCCTGAATGTTTAACCGCTTGTAAACCCTTCTAATCTTTATCATGACGTCACAAAAATATTTGAAAGCCTTAAACTCATCCCTAAGCTAAGAAAGAGCATTAGGGCCACTGAAAAAATAAAAAAGTTAACAGATTTTTAAAAATATTTTATTTCAGCATGAGAAAAAAGTTCTGACTGAATTCAGACAGCTAACAAACATGTTAACATCAAGCTGCAGCCATGTCTGTCTGGTTTTAATCACCTGCTGCTCTTCATCAATGAAATAGAAGAAATAGATGTGATAGATGGGTCGTCTGGGACGTACAAAGTCGCCTAATTCCATCATTTCCCACCAATGTGTTCCTATTCCTCCCAAACATCTCTGTCACTGAAGCTGAGTGCTCCACATCTCTGGCTTCATGGGGCCCATCTACATTAAGCCAGTGGGTTCCTGGCTCCTACATCCTCGATCCCTCATTGATCGAGGAGTATCAGCGCTCTCTGCCATCGACGTCTTCCGGAGATTAAAGTCAGAATTCTGACTTTGTTCCCATATTAAACTGAAATATTTAAAAATGTGTTAACTTTTTTTTTTTCAGTGGCCCTAATTCCTCTTCCGTACCAACCCAGCAGCAGTTCTACTTAAACTGTTCTTGTTTTATTCAATCTTCAAGAAAACCTGAATTTCTTTCAGACATCCCGAGTCTCCCGGAAGGTCCGAGAGTCTCCCTGATATTGATAGTTGTTCATTGATGCCTGCGAGTCGGATAAATTATCCCGGATTTTAGAATATGGGAGCTGGTGTTTTTTTTAATGCCAGTGAGAGCGAGCGGCAGTACAATAATTCATGCATCATGTGAGGATTAGAACTACTGTGATTCAACAGACAGCAATAGAGAGCGGGGTGTGAGGAGGAGGTTGCTGGTGAAACCTGTGCAGCAGGGCCGTGCAGAGACCACTAAAGGGGCAGGTGCTCAAAAAAAAAAAAAAAGGGCACATCTTATCGCATTTTAGGACAGAATATTAACAAAGTCACATAGCTTTCAGAGTTTAATGAACAATGATAAATGACAAAATTGTGAGACATACAATCAAAGCCAAGGGAAACACAAGAACAACAGCCTAATGTCTGTATGATAAAAATACTGAATCGATAGATAAGAACAGCTTTTCCTCACCTGGCTGTCTCCTCCCGCTCAGTAGTTCTTCAGAGAAAGGCGCGCCGCGTCCTATACTTTCCTCCGTTTAAACCGCTACTCTTTGCTAAAGTAGAGAAATTATACAACGTTCAAAGTTTTCCGTTGTCTGACAAGTAGCAAGCCTACTCCAGTATTTTCACCCAAAATTATGTTTTTTAATTCACAAAAAAAACTGTTCTGTTTTCATTACAGAACAGTTTTTTGTGAATTAAAAAACATGATTTTCAATGTAAAAGACTAAAAGCACAGAGCAAACAGTGTTTTAGATCAAACAATACTGCATCATCCATGGGGCTCATTTGGTTTCACTTACATCTCTATTCAGGTTGACATTGGAGAGGCGGTGCAGACTGAAGACATAGCCATCCGTCCGATCATGGTTGATCATGCTTAGGGCCAAATGAGCAGCGGCCACAGTGGAATGTGGAATATTCGCTACCTTTAGCTCCGCAGTTAGCCGCCTTATCTGACTGTGCGGCACCGGCAAAAGGTCAAAGGTAACAATGTGACCGGAGGGCTTATTGTATTGTTTTTCTTGCCACAAAGAAAAAAGATAATAATAATAATTTCAGTACATGTGTCAAATAAAAAAAATTAAGATAAAGCAAAAAAAAAGAAAAAAAAAAAAAGACCAAAAGGGCACATTGGGATAATGGAGCAAAAGGGGCAGGTGCTCAAGCCCCCTTAGCCCCCCCCCTCTGCACGTGCCTGGGTGATTCTCTGAATTCGGTGCACTTTTGATCTTGTGATTACTGAAAAAAATGTCACAAAAAATGTTGCTTTTGATCATGGTGTCTGATTTAGGACTATTTTAACCTCTGAGAAAATATGTTTTCCCACCTTAGGCATGCAATCCCAAAGATTATTCTCTTTTTTTTTTGTCACATATGTTGTTTTAAATTCAACCCTGTAACGGGACAATTGAGTTTCTGTGTGGGTAAAATCCCAAAACATATTCAAACTAATTCTTCCAGTGCCTTAGTAATCACTTGTCCCTTATATAAAATAAGTTATTGTAAGTAGATTTTTTTCATTGTAAATAATCATTTGTGACTGTCAGGTATGATAGGGCCTCTTTATATACCTACAGTCTTCATTAATCACAAAAATATACTTTAATGTAAACATCACATTAAGTTTTCATATATTTTCTCTTTTGTCCTCTAAACTTTACAGACAGTTCAGCTAGCATTTATCTCAAATTTTTTATTATTATCACAAAAAGTCTGAAAATGTATCAAGTAACAGGGTTGAACACATTGTAACAGGGTGGCTCACACTGTAACAGGGTTGAAAGAATCACAAAACATTTAATCAAATTTCAATTTAATTTAATGCATTAAAACAAACAAGAAAAGAAACATTTTGGATGTAATATTGAATACTCTAAAAATTATTTAGATGAACAGTATAGGCTGAATGCTGTAAGCAAAATCTCTCTCTGAAATCCGTTTAACAATGCTCAGGTCTTTATTTTCACACAAGGTCCTATGCTTCCTTGAAAAGCCCAGTATTTTCTCAGACCAACTCTGCAGCCTGTATTTCTTGACTATCTTCCCAACAACCACCTCTGCAACTTTTTTTTTTCCTTTTTCATATTTGGCATTCTTGTACTTCCTCCTGATGTCACAAATTATGGCTTCATGGTGCAGTAAAGTTTTCCTCACCTTGCTGTTCACAGTACAGTTTTTCAGCAACTGACAAACTTTGGATCTTGGAGAATCTTTATTCTTAGTTGCTCGCTGGAGTCTTTTTTTATATTTTTCTTTGAGCTTCTTCTGATGTTTTAGTTTCCTTTTTAGTTCTTCTATTTCTTTGCACAGTTTATCTCTTGCTTTTCTGGATGCTTTCTTGCCTGCTGAATGACTCAAATGAAACCATAAAATAAATGGAAAAGAAATGATTAGTTCTGCATATTAGTAGTTACATGACTAGAGACATAGCAATTATGGTGCAATGACTGACCACAAGGCTTACTATATACACTCACCGGCCACTTTATTAGGTACCCCATGCTAGTAACGGGTTGGACCCCCTTTTGCCTTCAGAACTGCCTCAATTCTTGGTGGCATAGATTCAACAAGGTGCTGGAAGCATTCCTCAGGGAGTTTGGTCCATATTGACATGATGGCATCACACAGTTGCCGCAGATTTGTCGGCTGCACATTCATGATGCGAATCTTCCGTTCCACCACATCCCAAAGATGCTCTATTGGATTGAGATCTGGTGACTGTGGAGGCCATTTGAGTACAGTGAACTCATTGTCATGTTCAAGAAACCAGTCTGAGATGATTCCAGCTTTATGACATGGCGCATTATCCTGCTGAAAGTAGCCATCAGAAGTTGGGTACATTGTGGTCATAAAGGGATGGACATGGTCAGCAACAATACTCAGGTAGGCTGTGGCGTTGCAACGATGCTCAATTGGTACCAAGGGGCCCAAAGAGTGCCAAGAAAATATTCCCCACACCATGACACCACCACCACCAGCCTGAACCGTTGATACAAGGCAGGATGGATCCATGCTTTCATGTTGTAGACGCCAAATTCTGACCCTACCATCCGAATGTCGCAGCAGAAATCCAGACTCATCAGACCAGGCAACGTTTTTCCAATCTTCTATTGTCCAATTTCCATGACCTTGTGCAAATTGTAGCTTCAGTTTCCTGTTCTTAGCTGAAAGGAGTGGCACCCGGTGTGGTCTTCTGCTGCTGTAGCCCATCTGCCTCAAAGTTCGACGTACTGTGCGTTCAGAGATGCTCTTCTGCCCACCTTGGTTGTAATGGGTGGTTATTTGAGTCACTGTTGCCCTTCTATCAGCTCGAACCAGTCAGGCCATTCTCCTCTGACCTCTGGCATCAACAAGGCATTTCCGCCCACAGAACTGCCGCTCACTGGATGTTTTTTCTTTTTCGGACCATTCTCTGTAAACCCTAGAGATGGTTGTGCGTGAAAATCCCAGTAGATCAGCAGTTTCTGAAATACTCAGACCAGCCCTTCTGGCACCAACAATCATGCCACGTTCAAAGTTACTCAAATCACCTTTCTTCCCCATACTGATGCTCGCTTTGAACTGCAGGAGATTGTCTTGACCATGTCTACATGCCTAAATGCACTGAGTTGCCGCCATGTGATTGGCTGCCTAGAAATTAAGTGTTAACGAGCAGTTGGACAGGTGTACCTAATAAAGTGGCCGGTGAGTGTGTATATATACATATATATATATGTGTGTGTGGGGGTGTGCGTGTGTTCTAAAAGCAATAAACCATAGCTTCCATGTTACAAATGTTCATTTCTTAGGAACTACTACAACAAACATATTAGTCATGTATAAAGCAGAGTAAAAAGTAGTGTTTCTAAAACTATCATCATTAAAGTCAACTATACTTCAAACTATATTTCCCTCACCGTGAGGACCCTGGTCTGGCTTGGACTTTGTCTTGAATATCACATTCATGAGTATGTGGAGGGGTTAGAGAGGCAGACCCAACATTTTCAATCTCAGCCTTCCTTTTCTGTCGCTCCTTAGCTTTCCACCACTCCCTCTGCTTACGTCTTCAAGCTCTCTTACTCAGGTCACTGATTGATTTCTTTGCTTCTCTATCTTTTTTCCATTGCTCACGCTCTTTCCTGAGGTATTCTTCTCTTCTTTGTGAATCTGCATTTCTTCTCACCCTGTATTCTCTTTGCCTCTCTGCATTTGATTTAGCCATCAGATATCTGAAAATAATGTATGAAATAACATTTAGAGAAAAGGGACTAACTTGCTTAACAACAGAAAAAGCTTCAACCCCGTAACAATAATTCAACCATGTAACAGTGTTTTTTGTTATGGGGTTGAATGTTACAGGGTTGAAGATTAAAGCCAAAAGTAGTTATAAGTCCACATTAGCTAGCAGTATAGTGTAGCTTATGGCATGTGGAAAACAAGAAATTCAAGTATTTTTCAAAGATAATTGTTTTATTTTTCCCAAACAATATTAAATATCATTTATACATGTAACAGTGTTGAAAGGTTGAGGTTGACGATGCAAATTTATTGATAAAAACGATGAAATTTAGGTGAGAAAGTAAGCTTTACACTTACCTCTCTTCACAGTTTGAGAGGGAAAAGAGTTGAGGGATGTCACTTCCTGTGTGTGGTTGAAGTTGGACTGAACCAATATTTAAAAAAAGGGAACATTGGTATGCCGTTACGGGGTTGAACAAAAACTGAGGGACATGATCAAATAGTGCTATTTTGTCAATAATTTGTTTATTTTTCTCATATTTCTTTTATTCAGCTTTGAGTAAACATGCAAATAATAATTTTAGCAGAAAAAAATTAGATTATTCTAGCTATTTTATTTGTTTTACATTCAGTGAAAAAGTACTTTCGGTGCGAGGGGACATGCTCATCTCACTTACCTCTGATCTTCTGCAGCCCATAAAATCTTTAAATTTTAGGATATAGATGTGTGTTATAAAGCAGAGACACGTGGATCTTTCCATTTGTTCTTTTTAAATTCTCTTTATTGTTTACCTTATATGAAAATCTTTGAGGTAAACCTTTGGGGACACAAAGTGCACCGAATTCAGAGAATCACCCGCCTGCTGTGCAGCGTTTCTGTCCAAAGCGATGCTCTGATCAACCAGCGTTCCAGGCGACTGTTTGATCAGAGAGCTGATTGGATCAGTCCCATTAGTTTCTCTGGTTCCTCTCTGGCAGTCCCCTAGTTACCACTCAAAGCTGTGCATCCTGGGAAACGGCAGAGGGTCAATCCTCCAGTAAAAAAACCAAAATATAGGACTAATTTTACAGCAGAATATACTAAAGTACACTATATTGCCAAAAGTATTTGCTCACCTGCCTTGACTCACATATGAGCTTAAGTGACATCCCGTTCCTAATCCATAGGGTTCAATATGACGTCGGTCCACCCTTTGCAGCTAGAACAGCTTCAACTCTTCTGGGAAGGCTGTCCACAAGGTTTAGGAGTGTGTTTATGGGAATTTTTGACCATTCTTCCAGAAGCGCATTTGTGAGGTCGCACACTGATGTTGGACGAGAAGGCCTGGCTCTCAGTCTCCGCTCTAATTCATCCCAAAGGTGTTCTATCGGGTTGAGGTCAGGACTCTGTGCAGGCCAGTCAAGTTCATCCACACCAGACTCTGTCATCCATGTCTTTATGGACCTTGCTTTGTGCACTGGTGCACAGTCATGTTGGAAGAGGAAGGGGCCAGCTCCAAACTGTTCCCACAAAGTTGGGAGCATGGAATTGTCCAAAATGTCTTGGTATGCTGAAGCATTCAGAGTTCCTTTCACTGGAACTAAGGGGCCAAGCCCAGCTCCTGAAAAACAACCCCACACCATAATCCCCCCTCCACCAAACTTTACACTTGGCACAATGCAGTCAGACAAGTACCGTTCTCCTGGCAACCGCCAAACCCAGACCCGTCCATCAGATTGCCAGATGGAGAAGCGCGATTCGTCACTCCAGAGAACGCGTCTCCACTGCTCTAGAGTCCAGTGGCGGCGTGCTTTACACCACCGCATCCGACGCTTTGCATTGCACTTGGTGATGTATGGCTTGGATGCAGCTGCTCGACCATGGAAACCCATTCCATGAAGCTCTCTGCGCACTGTTCTTGAGCTAATCTGAAGGCCACATGAAGTTTGGAGGTCTGTAGTGATTGACTCTGCAGAAAGTTGGCGACCTCTTCGCACTATGCGCGTCAGCATCCGCTGACCCCGCTCCGTCAGTTTACGTGGCCTACCACTTCGTGGCTGAGTTGCTGTCGTTCCCAAACACTTCCATTTTCTTATAATACAGCTGACAGTTGACTGTGGAATATTTAGGAGCGAGGAAATTTCACGACTGGATTTGTTGCACAGGTGGCATCCTATCACAGTTCCACGCTGGAATTCACTGAGCTCCTGAGAGCGACCCATTCTTTCACAAATGTTTGTAAAAACAGTCTGCATGCCTAGGTGCTTGAATTTATACACCTGTGGCCATGGAAGTGATTGGAACACCTGATTCCAATAATTTGGATGGGTGAGCAAATACTTTTGGCAATATAGTGTATATCCACGTCTAGTGAAGGGGAGGAACAGTCGCGGATCTAGACCAAATGTACCAGGGGGCCAGGAGGGGGCCAGCGTGTTTTCATGGGGGCCCAGAAAAGCATGAAATAAAAAACAGGGCAAGAGATTTAAATATGTTAAGAGAGCTACATGAAGGGAAATTTATTTTCAATGAGGTTAAATAAAAATTCTATTTCTTATGAGGTCAATATACATTTATAATTTAGGAATTTTACAGATTGTTGACTTAATTTTAGTTAAAACTACAGTTTTCTATAAAATTTAGATTAGAACTGTTAAATTCATTTGTAAAAATTAGAGCATATTTTATTTTTTCTGAAAAAAAAAACATTTTGTAGATGTCTCAGCAGCACTGAAGCTATCCCCTTATAGTTTTTGAATAATTAGTAAATCAGAATTTGTAAAGAATCAGCTGCAGAATGAAATCGATCCAAAGGACCCATCAGTAACCATGTCTGTTCCAGCACAGATCATCATTAAAATTTATTTTAATTATTGTCTTCAGAACAGGGGCCAGGAAGTGATCTACAGGGGCACTGGCCCCCGTTGGCCCCTGTCTAGAACCAGCCATGGTGAGGAGTGATGACATCATGGCGAGGTGCACTGTCTGCTGAAGTCCATGAAAAACAGAAAGCACAACCGATGTTCAAGGCTACAAGATTGAAAGTATTGAAAATAGAGCATCTCCCTGAAATGAGTTTTTGGAACTTGGGATATCTGTAAATTTGTTTTTTGTTGTTGTTGTTTTTTAATTGTAACTTACATTTTTTTTTTTATAAGAAAAGTTGAACCAAATTCTCATTGCTTGCTTTCTGCACCAACACGGCCATGTAAAGCACTAAATCACTGGTTGATGAACCACTGTGGTTCCTAGAACTTCTAAAAGTAGAATGGGAGGCAGATCTTTTAGTTCTCAGGCTCCTCTCCTGTGGAACCAACTACCAGTTTTAGTCCGTGAGGCAGACACCCTGTCTACTTTTAAGGCTAGGCTTAAAACTTTACTTATAATAAAGCGCCTAATTAGACGAGGTTCTAGGTTTTCTGGATGCATCTCTTCTGACTGAAGTTTTCTAAAAAGGTTTTCTTTTTTTCATTTGATGTTGGGATTTGTTGGGAGTCCAGCTTCCTTCACAGACTGACTGCATGAGGATCAATTTTAGAGGATGAGAAAGGCCAACATATGCAGACGTGGAGCTTTTCTCTCTGTGCAGATCCAATCTGGGACCGTAGAATTACATCTACATGAAAATGTAGATGGAACAGTGTGAGGAAGCTGTGCTTTTAATTCCAGTTCAATTGGAGCAACATGTTGTTTTATCACAGATACAACTTTGCTGCTCTTACTTTGGTTTTGCTGTAGGAGGCCGTATTTAATTACTTTTTCGGTTTCTGTTGTTATAAACTTTGATCCGAGCCTTTACCAAACATTAGTTACCTCAGATCAACACAACTAGATCAGCGAGGAGGATGTGAACAAAGCTGCTGTACTTCCTCACTGTGAGATGATAAAGCATGTTTCTATTCTGTTCTCAAAGAGCAAAGAAACAAATAAAATGTAAAAGAAACCACATTATAGAGAAATTTTGCTTTATAAAAAACATAAAATGTACATAATCAAAGCCATATTAATGACACATTTAACATACAACTCAAATCGGCTAGAAACCTTCCTGCTGTACTTCTGCAGAAATGAAGAGACAACATTCAGAGAACAAACAGTTCAAACTTGGCCCAAACTGGGCAACAGGAGGGGGACAGGAAGGGGACAGGTGGGCAACAGGAGGGGGACAGGTGGGGAAAAGGAGGGGGACAGGTGGGCAACAGGAGGGGGAACAGGTGCGGGACAGAGGGGGACAGGTGGGGAACAGGAGGGGGAACAGGTGGGGGACAGGTGGGGGACAGGTGGGCGACAGGTGCGGGAACAGGTGCGGAAACCCTGATGACTCTGGGCTACTTCCTGTCTTTAGGGACATCTATCCCTCGGATCCTCCTTGCCAGCTGAATGTCCCGCTCTAACAGTGTGACCCTCTTGGCGTGGATGGCGCACAGGTTGGCATCAGACAGCAGCATGACGAGGAATGCCTCTGCAACCTGGGAACAGAGACGGCACCATTAATAAGCCTCTGTTCTGCTGGACGCTCTGGGACTCAGAGCCCTTTAACGTCCCCCAGGTGGGGGACAGGTGGGTTTCATTTAGAATACCATTCTGAGGTTGAACGCCTTTGGATTCAGGTTCAGGCTTCTTGGTTTTAGGCTAGAAGCTAGTTGACCCAGAACAAGTTCAGACATCTTTAAAAAATGCTTTAACCGTCATGGAGAATCCAAGCAGACATCTAAAGCCACATAGTTCTGTCATGATGGGTTCACTGAAGAGACCCAGTTATGCAGAACACCACGGAGACGGAAACAAGAGTAAAAGTTTAACTATGTTTATTGTTCACAAGCACATGGAATATTGTCTGGAACTGGTTCAGGCCTGGGGACTGGTTCACTGGAGTCTGTGTAGATAACAGAGCAGTTAGCTTTGAGAGCAATGGGTTTGGGCTTGTGATGTTCAGATTAATACCTTGAGGGTTCCGGTTTGAGTTCAGAGAGAGGAGCTGTTGGGTCCAGAGAAGGTTTGTTTCAGCAGAGTCCAATAACTGCTTCAGCGTCTTACTTCTGAAGAGGGTGGCTTTGGTTTTCCAGCTCTCAATCCAGAGCTGCATGGGAAATCCAGAGAGGAGTCTTCGGGTTTTGCTCAGAGGGCAGGTTCGGCAGTCTAAGCTCATCCAGAGCTCACAGAGAAAAACAGGTTTCCTGGAAACAGAGACACAAAAGGATTACAATCCAAGCAGGACTCAGAGGGCAATAAAAGATTCTCAGAAGGTTCTTTGGCTCAGGTGCTAACCAACTAGATTCAACACTGCAGCGTCGAGGCAAGGTCTGAAGACAGCTTTTATACTGTGGATCCTCTGATGATGAAACGAGCCACAGGTGCGTCGAAGGCTCGGCTCAGGAGGATCCACGGCGGACTCTGCTGGAGGAAGGTGGTACTTCTCCAGCTCCCAACAAGTTCTAGTCACCGAACCGTGTGTTCCTTCACCGCACTTCATTTACACGCTGATCTGCATCATCAAGTAGGAGGAGCTTCAGCTGTGAAGCTGAGACCCCACTAATGTGAAAAAAAACTCAGCAGAGAGACTGAATCTTTAGAGTTTCATTAGGGTAAAACTCTCGCAGGTAAAACTCTCGTTTCTGCTGATTTGTTTTGTTCAGATAAAATTATTTTTAATTACGGCCGATGACGTCACCATCCCAGCAGACGTTAGCGCTGCGCTCGTCTCCTGATATAAAGTTATTGCAGCACATCAGATGTCATCCCTAAATAGAACAGAGGGCATGTTGACCTTATTTAGTGGCTGGAATGATTGTTTAATATTTAGTAAATCTCCAGCCGCCCAGACCCTCTGCTTTGCACATTTCACAATAAAAGCCCAGGTGAACCTTAACATCACCAACAAGGAGCTGAATTCAAACTGCAGAGCATTCCTTATTTCTACCTTTGTTAACATTATTTTCATTGGATTCCACAGTTAACCGCTGTTCATGGATGAGTCACAGAGGAGCATCGATATGCAGCAGGAGATGAAGGATCATTATAGGATCTCAGGTTAAGGGATAGAGGGGTCAAAGGTCACAGTGTTGCTTTAAAAACCAAACTCATCAGAACCAGGAATCTTTGTTGTCATTATTGCACTTTGAGACACCTGGAGACATCCAGACAGATGTCCTCGGAAAATTTATTTCACATATTGATTTTTCCATTTACTCACAATAAAAGTTTTTCACTCAGTCAGTTTCACCTGCAAGGCCACACAATGCCTGAGTGAGGGTGTTTATAGACAGACTTCTTCCCATAACAAGCCAGATTCTTTCTCAGGTTTATTCATAACATGTTACTGTTTAACCAAAGTGTAATTTGTTAGGTTTCTGTTTCTGTTATATTTTTCTTTTGAGTATTCAGTCTTACTTTACTCCTTGTTTTCTAGTGTTTAGTTTTCTTTTCACCATGTTTTATAGTCCTAGTTATTTGATTATCATTTTGTTGTTATTTCTAGTCTTCCTGGTTTCTATTTGTTGCTCTCTGCTGCCCTCTTGTGTTCTCCTTCTTCCCTAGCTCTTTCCCTCTCTTGTTCTTTGCACACCTGCTCCCAGTTTCCTCATTAGCCCCCTCTTTGTCTCAGCATCCTTTAAAAAGCCCTCTCTGTTCAGTTCCCCTTTGCTGGGTCCTTGTCAAACACTGTCTACATGCTCCAACTCCTTCTCTCTGTGCCTTCCTCATTATGTTTGTGATTCCCCTGATGTCCCCATGGTTTCTGGTACGTTAGACTTGTTTTCATTTTTTGGATTTTTGGACTTCTGGTTTCATGTTTTTTTGGACTTTGTTTTCCTTTTGGATTTTTGGATAACCAGCCTCTGATTTCTGTCAAGTCATTATTAAATCCACAACAGATTCACCTCTGCCTCTCTGCCTCTGCTTTTGGGTCAACTCACCATAGTCAAATCCTGACAAATTTGCTTTGACTCTGACTACTTTCCATTGTTGTAAGTAAGGAGGGATGAACGCTGCCCAGATCAGAACAGGGCTGATTACCATGCAATAAGGACCGTATGATGAACTGTTCTCTCTTTGAAAAGATAAAAATAAAGTACAGACTGAGTGAAAACTATGGATCTACATTTATTTAACTGGAGTGAATAGTTTAATACATTTTCTCCACGACAGATAAAAAAAAAAAATTCTAGAAAAAAAAACAAAAAAAAAAACTAATAAGCATCGGAAGAAGAACAAACTCCATTTTAGAAAGAAGATAAAATGACAGCGTGTCCCTCAGCTGACTTCCTCTGCTTACCTCCTGTAGGGCCATGAGAGCGTTCACCTGCCATCGAAGATCAACAGCAAACCCCTGACACACCTCCCGAACCTGGGGGGGGGGGGAGATCGCACAGAGCTCATGAAACTCTGCTCCAGGTAGGGGGGAATGAGTTACTGGTTAGCCGGCTCCTCCTATTATGACTCAGTTAACTAAACATATTCTTTGTTGAGGCCGTTTCCATGGTGCGACTCACCAGGCGGGAAAATGGCGCCTTTAGGATGAGCATATCGGTGCTCTTCTGGTACTTGCGGATCTCCATCAGGGCCCTGGTTCCCGGTCGGAACCTTCTCTTCTTGGGAGACGCTAAAGACTGCCCTGAAACGCAAATATAGAATTATAAAATATAATCATGTCTGCAGAGCTTTTATTGAGCTTTGGTTTAATACCTTCTTTCTTTAGGGGCTGCAGCCCTCATTTATTTTGCTTTATTTCATGTTGAGATTTATCCGTGTGACTGAATATTGCATCATTTATTAATAACAGTATGTCTTTATGTGGTTTTTAATTTAAACTCCTCATCAGAGCAAATAAGTTTAAAACAGACAATTCCAAGTAAAAACTGTAAAACTGAGGAGCAGTCTGTCCTCTGGAAGTTGTGAAAGTGTTCAAAGTTTCCACGTCTCCAGGAGAGAACATCTGGATCAGGCTCTTACTTGACGCTTCAGGTGGGGCTCCACTTTTCCTCAAGGATTGTTGAGTGGATGTGGAAGCGCCGGGGGTCGGCAGCGGGGGCCGATGGACGGGGGCTTTGGCCTTTCTGCGGCTCATAGCTGAAGGACGAGTCATGCTGTCTGATCCACACACAGGAGAGGAGCGGAAGAAGTATCTCACTGGGAGGAGCAGAGGACAGCATCAAACAATAGGTCCATCAACGGGACACGTTAGAGACGGGTCTGAAGATTAAACTCCCACAGCAGCAGAGCTGACAACAGAAACACTCCACCTATAAAAACATTTATATCCTCCTTAAATTCCTTCATTATGAGCCCCTTTCTCCTGGTCCAATAACAGATATTTGCCAAACGGTCACCATCAGTGGCTTTAGTGGGGAGCCGGTGTTCTGACAGACCGGCATACCCCATCAGACCAGCATAGCCATAGTCAATACGCTTGATGTCAGCTTTGCGTTTACCCTATTCTGGTGATGATCCAGATCACCTTCTGGATCCAGGAAAGATTCTGTGAATTCAGGTATGAAGCTGAGGTGGAGGTCTGCGCTCTCTGGGAGCTTCTCCAGTTTCTGGCTGATAATGGAGCAGTTTCTCATATTGGTATCGAATCAGGATGTCCAGAACATTAAATCAGTTCATAATTCACTGATTTAATTCTGAAGATCTGGATGGGAAACATCATTTTTAGTCTATAACAATATAATCATAAACATATCGATACTAGTGCTAAATGATAACATTCAATAACCAATTAATAATAAAAAGTTAGTTAATGGAGGCCTTAAGGATAATTTAGAAATCAATGTCTGAGTTATTGAACTGATCCTCTGGCATTAATAGAAGAAACAGTTCAGAAATAGAAATATCTGATCTGTTTTCTCCTCTCTGCTTCCTAGATTGAACCTGTCTGAAACCTGAAACCCAGAAGAGTTTCTCTGCCGGTAATCTGCCTGTCTGTTCTCTGAAGAACCCTGGAGAACTATTCCTGTCTAAGACCTGCCTGCCCGCTCTCTGAAGAAACCGGAAGGGAAACTCTAATCGGTAATTTGCCAACACTCAAACCAAGCTCTGCCTCCGCCTAGCCCTCAGCCTGCCGACAACCTCTGGACCCTCAAGGTTCCCCCCTCAGCCGTTCAGCTCAACTCCAGTACAGGCTCAGCCCTGCACACTTTCATCCTGCAAATTACCTGGACCTCCATTAACTCCTCTGTCCCCCTCTGCAGTGAACCCACTAGTGACCAGTCCTGGACCTGTTAACTCTGTGTGCATTTCAGAATCCACTCGTGACCAGACGAGTTCCCCTTGGGATCTGTTTATTTATTGTATTCCATCTTCTAAATAAACCTTTGAACTTTTATCCAGTCTCGGAGTGTTCTGCATGTGGGTTAGGCACCTGAAGCCAAACATGACAGAACACTCTGGCCAACAGACTAACCCAGCGGAATCACTCCGGAGGATGTTGGAGCAACAACAAACTCTGATTCAGAGCCACGACACCGCCCTCCGTGGGTTAAACACACGTCATGACCAAACAAACCGCTCTTTACAGGAGATAGCCGGCTATCTTCAAAATGCTACACCAAGAACGGAGCCCGTTCAACTTCCGGTTCAAGAGACTAATCCTCCACTCAGGTCAGAACCCGGTCCGTCGTTTCCTGAATTCCGTCCTTCACTTCCTGAAAAGTTTTTTGGCAATCCAAGTAAGTGTAAGGTGGGGGCAGTCTTGTCCCAAGTAGCCTATCTGATTCTGACCAGAAAACTCATCCATGGGCATTTTTCTCCCGCAGACTTTCGCCCGCAGAGCAAAATTACGATGTCGGAGACAGAGAACTCCTAGCAATTAAACTGGCTCTGGAAGAATGGCGGCATTGGCTGGAGGGCGCAGAGCATCCCGTTCTGGTATGGACAGAACACAAAAACCTATCATACATTCACTCTGCTAAGAGATCCAATCCCCGTCAGTCCCGTTGGTCACTATTCTTCTCAAGATTCAACCTGATAATCTCCTACCGGCCTGGCTCCAACAACATCAAACCCGACTCTCTATTACGCCTGACAAACCTGAAACTCCGGACTCCATTCTCCCTGCCAGCTGCACGGTGGCTACTGTCTCCTGGGAAATCTCTGATTTAATAAAACTGGCCCAAGCTTCTTAACCCGACCCAGGTAATGGTCCACCCAGCAAAACCTATGTTCCCTCTTCTGTCAGGTCCTGTCTCATCCACTGGATGCATTCAGCCAAGTTTTCTGCTTACCCCGGTGTAAGCAGAACCATTGCCCTGATCTCTCGCCGCTTCTGGTGGCCATCCCTTCACAAGGATACGAAGGAGTATGTCCTAGCCTGTTCCATCTGATATCGAAATAAACCTTCACACCAACCTCCCTCTGGTCTTCTTCATCCGCTACCTGTTCCAACTCGCCCCTGGTCCCACATCGCCGTGGATTTCGTGACCGGTTTGCCCGCATCCAGAGGTATGACCACCATCCTCACTATAATCGACCGATTCTCAAAAGCCTGCCATCTTGTTCCCCTCAGGAAACTCCCGACTGCCTTCCTAACAGCACGGCTTCTGGTCAAACATGTTTTCAAGCTCCATGGAATTCCCCAGGAGATTTTGTCGGACAGAGGGCCTCAATTCACCGCACAGGTCTGGAAACACTTCTGTTCTGCTCTTGACACGAATATCTCTCTGACATCAGGTTATCATCCACAATCCAATGGTCAAACAGAACGTCTAAACCAGGAACTGGAATCAACCCTTCGATGCTTCACTTCAACCAACCCGATCTACTGGAGCCAATACCTTCACTGGGTAGAATACGCACATAATTCTCACACATCATCTGCAACCGGTCTGTCCCCTTTTGAAATCTCTTTAGGTTATCAGACACCCTTGCTCCCGGCCGACGAAAAGGAAATCTCTGTTCCATCAGTTCAGCATCACATCCGCCGTTGTCATAAAATCTGGAAGGACACCATTGCCGCTCTGAACCGGACATCTGCTCAAAACAAGAAATACGCTGATCGCAAACGACGTCCAGCTCCCACCTATACACCCGGACAACCGGTTTGGCTCTCCACATGTGACATCCCTCTCAAACCATGTCCCGTAAACTCTCCCCCAGGTTCATCGGTCCATACAAAATCGAGTCCATCATCAACCCGTCTGCCGTCCGCCTGCATCTGCCATCCTCACTCCGGATCCATCCAACATCCCACGTATCTCAGATTAAGCCTGTCCTGACCAGCCCTTTGTGCCCTCCCTCCGACTCCCCTCCACCCGCCCGGGACATTGATGGTCACCCTGCTTTCACCGTCCGCCGGATCGTAGACTCCCGTCGCCGGGGCCGCGGCTGGCAGTACCTGGTTGACTGGGAGGGCTACGGCCCGGAGGATCGCACTTGGGTTCCTGGATATTTTATTCTCGACCCTGACCTGATTAAGGAATACCGTGAGTCTCTGCCATCTACTTCATTTGGACCGCCAGGAGGCGGTCGTTGAGGGGGGGTACTGTTGGGATCTGGAGGTCTGTCCACTTTCTCCACCAGAGGGCGTACTAGATCTCCTGGAGCCGGAGCTGATTGCAACCACCTGTCGCTCATCTGCTCATCAGGAGATCTGTATTTTAGGAGGCAGAGGACGTCTCTCCAGCGCCAGAGTGTTTGCCAGTTACGGTTAGCAAGCCTGAGCCAACCTGCCTGTCTGAACCTCTAACTCCCTGAAAACCAGAACCTGAACCTGATCTGTTTTCTCCTCTCTGCTTCCTAGATTGAACCTGTCTGAAACCTGAAACCCAGAAGAGTATCTCTGCCGGTAATCTGCCTGTCTGTTCTCTGAAGAAACCGGAAGGGAAACTCTAATCGGTAATCTGCCAACACTCAAACCAAGCTCTGCCTCCTCCTAGCCCTCAGCCTGCCGACAGCCTCTGGACCCTCAAGGTTCCCCCCTCAGCCGTTAAGCTCAACTCCAGTACAGGTTCAGCCCTGCACACTTTCATCCTGCAAATTACCTGGACCTCCAGTAACTCCTCTGTCCCCCTCTGCAGTGAACCCACTCTTGACCAGTCCGTGACCTTTGAACTTTTATCCTGTCTCGGAGTGTTCTGCATGTGGGTTAGGCACCTGAAGCCAAACATGACACTCGTACCATGTCTGTTGGTTGTTCTGTTCTTTTACATCTCTTTGCAGGTGAAAATGTTTTATCATTATCTCCCTTTTATCTCCTCTTTCTTTCACCTTTTCTCCTTTTTTCTGTTTTTCCTTTCCTGTTTTCCTCACATTGCAGTGTCCGTATAATCTGTAAAACTCCCTGCATAATGATAATAAATCTATTTATATGCAGAAATCAAGCGTAACACTATGGCGATAGCCGTACTGCTCCTCTATAGAAAGTAAAATCTGTTGGGTTCTTTTTGGGATCAAGACAATAATTCTTATTGCCACATGGCCAGACAGGACACTGGACTGCAAAAGAAAGAAGAAGAAAATATTTTACTTGGAATATGGAGCCATGATACATTTTGATTTCTTAAGGTTTTTATTTTCAAAGTGCCTTTCATGCTGTCAAATTCAATAGTTTGTCGTCCTCGATCTACAAACGGTTTAATGAAATTACCTTTTTTTGATTTGACCTTTTTTTAGGGTTAAATAAAACCCTAACCCTAACCAAATATTCAGACTTATTTTATTGATATGCACAGTCAGATATTTAACACTGGATTTTATAGGAACTAGGGTTGTCACGATACTAAACTTTTCAACTCTACCTTGCTAACTGTCCTTATTGTAATGCTAATAACCTGTGATGTGACCAGCCCTTCTACAGGAGACTGGATAAAGGCTGAAACAAACTGGCATCAGAACCAGAGCATGCTCCAAACACTTTTCATTACCTTCTCCTGCAACCTTTGACCTTTTTGCAGGAATATATTTATAAGTCAGATCTAAATCTTTTATTTAAGCAAACCTATTGAACAACCAGATATCATACGGGTCCTAGTTCCTGAGCAGGTCATAACCATGCTTTTCCAACAGGGCAAGGCAGAGACTATTTATATTGTCCGTTCACCAACAGACTCATTTATGTTGCAAAGCTCACTATGTTAAAGAAACGTAGAGAATAATTGTATTTTGTCTGTTGTGACGCCTTTTAATGTCATTCAACATTTCAGCTTAGAGAATGACAAACAGTCTGATTTCAGTACTGGAGTAACATTTATTCCACCAAGGAAAAGCTCTACATATGAAGCTACAATTGTCCCATTTAGCAGTTTTTACAAACCCAAGGTGAGTCCTTCCTGCATTTGTGACAGGTATACTGTGTGCAGCGCACACAACGCTCAGTGCTGTGGTTCCTGGTGCAGGGATTGCACACCTGGCCTGCTTAGAATAACAATGAAACAATCTAAAAAAATAGAGTTCAGTACATTTTCCCAAAGTAAGAGTTGTAGTCTGAACTAGATGAAGTTGTCTATGTGTGCTATAAGTTTGGTAGCACTACAATGATCTATAGTGTAATTATTGGCTATTATATGCTTATAATAACAATGAATAAATCTCCAAAAATACAGTTTGGCCTATCTTGCCAAAGTAAGAAAGAAAAGAATGTTAGAACTGTAAATATACAGTGATATGTTTATATTACTAGTTTTTTGAATGTATTTATTACTGTTTTCAAGGCTGCACTTTAAAATATGAAATTGTCTAGAGCTGATCTAAACGAAATTTTCTTTTTGTTTACACCTGTGTGTAAAAAATGACTAAATAAATCTGTCTAAGTCTCTAAGTCATAAGTAACTCTTGGCTTTTATATGCTTATAAAAACAATGAAAAAAATAGAGTTTAGCACATTTTCCCAAAGTAACAGTTGCAGTGTGAACTAGATGAGGTTATCTATGTTTGGAGGCACTACAATGATCTATAGTGTAATTATTGGCTATTATATTATAATAACAAAGTAAAATAATCTCCAAATATAAAGTTTGGCCAATCTTCCCAAAGTAAGAGTTGTAGTCTGATCCAGATGAGATTATCTGTTTATCCTACAAGTTTGGAGACACTACAACGATCTATAGTGTAGTCATTGCTCATTTTATACTTATTCTAATAATAGAATAGAGGTGCCATTTGTCGTTTAGGCTTTTGGAAATTCCTCAGAAAAGTATTATTTTCCAATCCAATGAATGTGATAATAATCCACCTCTCCTTGGTGACGCTTTTGAATATTTCTCTCTGATTATTTTGCAACTTGCAGACGGAGCATTTGCGGAGCAGTTTGCTCCCCATAGGGTCCAATGTAATTCTCCCTGCGCGATAGGAGACTCGTTTTTAGGAAAAAGCCGAGTCTGTGAATATATTGCCAACTTTACTGCAGTTTCACCATGCTGTCTGCATGGCTGCAGAGGAGGAGAGAGGAGAGATTTCTTGAGTTATTTTTCCCCCCAAATAAATAATGCTCATTATTGTATAAATGCTCATTGTTGTATGAATATTGTTGCTTGTTACAGGGTTCCAGCTCATGCAGCTATCCCCCCCCCCTGCTTGAGCTAAAACCGAAACTGAAGGGGGTGTAATGTTTCTCCAGCCACAGCACTAATGGGGCATTTACATCTGAAAAAGGATTCATGAGTTGATAAGTACTGCGGGGTAGGATTAGGGGCTGATTCATCCATCCTGATTCATTTAGGCCTACTGATTTTAAAATTTTATTTCAATTTAGTATGGGAAAAAAGTCAGAATTCTGAGGAAAAAGTCAGAATTCTGAGAAAAAGTCAGAATTCTGAGATTAAAGTCAGAATTCTGAGAAAAAGTCAGAATTCTGAGATTAAAGTCAGAATTCTGACTTCTTTCCCATACTAAACTGAAATAAAATTTAAAAATCAGTTAACCTTTTTTTTTGTTTGTGTCAGTGGCCCTACTCCTCTTTCGCAGCGGGGGGATTGCAGGCTGAGAAAATTCTCGTATCTGTGGGATTTTTAGTGTTAAACACAGAGAAACTGAGGCCCCGTCCACACGAAGACGAACCCTGGCCTAAACGCACAAATTTTTCACCAAACCAGCCTCCCATCCACACGAAGCCGGCGTTTCGGGGGTCTGTAAACGATCATTTTTTTATTCAGCCTTCAGAGTGGGAAGATTCTGAAACGCCGTTTTCGAGTTTCCATCTTTACACCCTAACCGCATTTTTTTTTTTACACGCATGCGTCATAGCGTCGCCTCTAAACACGCAAGCGCGACACATCACAACAACAATGGCGCCGTTGCTAATGCTACTCACCCTGCTGTCGGGCTTACAACAGAATCTTCTTCTTCTGGAATATCTCCAGGAAGAACAGAGCAATATCGACCACATAGTTCAGCACCTGAATTTGACTTAACCACGAAAATGGACCCGCAGGGCAACCATGTATAAATATTAGCGCGCATGCCCAACATTTCGTCGCTTATTTTGCTTTGGCACCACAGCGCCACTTACAGGCCTGGCATACATTTTGCAGCGTTTTCATGCATTCGTGTGGATGCTCACATTTATTTTACGTCTCCGTCTTTACGGCAAACGTTTTGGAAAATATCAGCGTTTCGTGTTCGTTTTGACTTCGTGTGGACGGGGCCTAAAGCTAAACATCCGATTAAAACCTTTTCTTACCAGAAAGCAGGAGAGGAGAAGCTTCAGCCTTGGAGCTGCTGACGTTTGGTCCGGATGAAAACACACAGATTCAAACAATGCTTCGCTCCCCGCTCGACCAGGTAAGAGCAACGGTGACACGGGGGGTTGGGGGGTGGTGGGTGGGGTGGGGGTGAAACAAGTGATGAAATGTTGGGTCAAATGGGTTATTTTATTTATATATATATATATATATATATATATATATATATATATATATATATATATATATATATATGTTAGTACTGTAAATATACAGTCGTGTGTTTATATTACTATTTTTATGTAGCTATTTATTAATGGTTTTCAAGGCTGCACTTAAAAAAATGAAATTGTCTAGAGCTTTTTTAAATGAAATTTCTTTTTGTATACACTCATGTATACAAAAAATAAATCTGTCTAAGTCTAAGATGCAGGTACTATGTTGGAAAACAGCTTTTTTTTCTCCACCTTTCGGAACAAAAGTGTCATTACAAGGAATAGAAAAACCTCAAAGCAGAATGGGTGAACAACATTTCTATCATATCTGATCTGGATGAAAATAGAGATTTATTAGAATCGGAATTTTGTACACAAGTTCCTCCTAAAAAGGATGGATGGATGATGGATGGATGGATGATGGATAATGATGGATGGATGGATGGATGGTTGGATGATGGATGGAAGATGGATGGGTGGATGGATGGAAGGATGGATGGATGATGTATGGATGGATGGTGGATGGATGGATGGATGGATGGTGGATGGATGGATGGATGGATGATGGATGGAAGATGGATGGGTGGATGGATGGAAGGATGGATGGATGATGTATGGATGGATGGTGGATGGATGGATGGATGGATGGTGGATGGATGGATGGATGGATGATGGATGGATGGATGGATGGATGATGGATGGATGGATGGATGGATGATGAGGGATGGATGGATGGATGGATGGTGGATGGATGGATGATGAGGGATGGGTGATGGATGATGATGGATGGATGGATGGATGGATGGATGGATGAATGGATGATGGATAGTTGGATGGATGGATGGATGGACGGATGGATGGATGGATGAGGGATGGGTGATAGATTTTGGATGGATCGATGGATGATGGATGGTTGGATGATGGATGGAAGATGGATGATGGATGGATGGATGGATGGATGAGGGATGGGTGGATGGATGGAAGGATGGATGATGATGGATGGATGATGGATGGATGGATGGATGGATTATGATGGATTGATGATGGATGATGGATGGATGAGGGATGGGTGATGGATGATGATGGATGGATGATGGATTGAGGGATAGATGGATGAATGAGGGATGGGTGATAGATTTTGGATGGATCGATGGATGATGGATGGTTGGATGATGGATGGAAGATGGATGATGGATGGATGGATGGATGGATGGATGGATGGATGATGATGGATGGATGCGGGATGGGTGATGGATGATGATGGATGGATTGATGGATTGATGGATGGATGGATGATGGATCGATGGATGATGGATGGATGGACGGATGGATGGATGAGGAATGGGTGATGGATGATGGCTGGATGGATGATGGATGGATGGATGGATGATGAATTGATGGATGATGGATTGATAGATGGTGGGTGGATGGATGATGAATTGATGGATGATGGATGGATGGATGATGGATGGATGGATGATGAATAAATGGATGGATGATGGATGGATGATGGATTGATGGATAGATGGATGGATGGATGGATGGATGGATGATGGATAGTTGGATGGATGGATGTATGGATGGATGGACGGATGGATGAGGGATGGGTGATGGATGATGGCTGGATGGATGATGGATGGATGGATGATGAATTGATGGATGATGGATTGATGGATGATGGATGGATGGATTGATGGATGATGGATGGATGGATGATGGATGGATGATGAATAAATGGATGGATGGATGGATAATGCATGGATGATGGATGGATGGATGATGGATAAATGGATGGATGGATGATGGATGGATGATGGATGAATGATGGATGGATGGATGGATGGATGGATGGATGGATGGATAAATGAATGGATGGATGGATGGATGGATGGATGGATGGATAATGCATGGATGATGGATGGATGGATGGATAGATGGAGGGGTGGAAGATTGATGATGGATGGATTATGGATGGATGATGGATGGATGGATGGATGGATGGATGGATGGATGATGGATGGATGGATGATGGATGGATGATGAATAAATGGATGGATGGATGGATAATGCATGGATGATGGATGGATGGATGATGGATAAATGGATGGATGGATGATGGATGGATGATGGATGAATGATGGATGGATGGATGGATGGATGGATGGATGGATAAATGAATGGATGGATGGATGGATGGATGGATGGATGGATGGATAATGCATGGATGATGGATGGATGGATGGATAGATGGAGGGGTGGAAGATTGATGATGGATGGATTATGGATGGATGATGGATGGATGGATGGATGGATGGATGATGGATGGATGGATAGAAGAGGGGTGGATGAATGATGGATGGATGGATGGAGTGATGGATGGATGATGGATGGATGGATGATGGATAAATGGATGGATGGATGGATTGGTGATGGATGATGATGGATGGATGATGGATTGATGGATAGATGGATGGATGGATGGATGATGGATCGATGGATGGACGGATGGATGGATGATGAATTGATGGATGAGGGATGGGTGATGGATGATGGCTGGATGGATGATGGATGGATGGATGATGAATTGATGGATTATGGATTGATGGATGATGGATGGATGGATGATGAATTGATGGATGATGGATGGATGGATGATGAATAAATGGATGGATGATGGATGGATGATGGATTGATGGATAGATGGATGGATGGATGGATGATGGATAGTTGGATGGATGGATGGATGGATGGATGGACGGATGGATGGATGAGGGATGGGTGATGGATGATGGCTGGATGGATGGATGGATGATGGATAGTTGGATGGATGGATGGATGGATGGACAGATGGATGGATGGATGAGGGATGGGTGATGGATGATGGCTGGATGGATGGATGGATGGATGGATGGATGGATGGACGGATGGATGGATGAGGGATGGGTGATGGATGATGGCTGGATGGATGGATGGATGGATGGATGATGATGGATGGATGATGGATGATGGATGAGGGATGGGTGATGGATTGATGGATAGATGGATGGATGGATGGATGGATGGATGGATGGATGATGGATCGATGGATGATGGATGGATGGGCGGATGGATGGATGGATGATGAATTGATGGATGATGGATGGATGGATGATGGATGGATGGATGATGGATTGATGGATAGATGGATGGATGGATGGATGGATGGATGGATGATGGATAGTTGGATGGATGGATGTATGGATGGATGGACGGATTGATGGATGAGGGATGGGTGATGGATGATGGCTGGATGGATGATGGATGGATGGATGATGAATTGATGGATGATGGATGGATGGATGGATGGATGATGAATAAATGGATGGATGGATGGATAATGCATGGATGATGGATGGATGGATGATGGATAAATGGATGATGGATAAATGGATGGATGGATGGATGGATGATGATGGATGGATTATGGATGGATGATGGATGGATGATGGATGGATGGATGATGGATGGATGGATAAATGAATGGATGGATGGATGGATGGATAATGCATGGATGATGGATGGATGGATGGATGATGGATGGATGGATAGATGGAGGGGTGGATGAATGATGGATGGATGGATGGATGGATGGATGATGGATGGATGGATGATGAATAAATGGATGGATGGATGGATGGATGAGGGATGGGTGATGATGGATGGATGATGGATTGATGGATGGATGGATGGATGATGGATCGATGGATGATGGATGGATGGACGGATGGATGGGTGAGGGATGGGTGATGGATGATGGCTGGATGGATGATGGATGGATAATGAATTGATGGATGATGGATTGATGGATGATGGATGGATGGATGGATGGATGGATGGATGGATGGATGGATGGATGGACGGATGGATGGATGAGGGATGGGTGATGGATGATGGCTGGATGGATGATGGATGGATGGATGATGGATGGATGGATGGATGATGAATTGATGGATGATGGATGGATGGATGGATGGATGGACGGATGGATGGATGAGGGATGGGTGATGGATGATGGCTGGATGGATGATGGATGGATGGATGATGGATGGATGGATGATGAATAAATGGATGGATGATGGATGGATGATGGATTGATGGACGGATGGATGGATGTATGGATGATGGATGGATGGATTGATGATGGATGGATGGATGGATGGATGGATGAAGGATGGATGGATGGATGGATGATGGATGGATGGATGATGGATGGATGATGAATAAATGGATGGATGATGGATGGATGATGGATTGATGGACGGATGGATGGATGTATGGATGATGGATGGATGGATTGATGATGGATGGATGGATGGATGGATGGATGGATGATGGATGGATGGGTGGATGTATGTTGGATGAATGGGTGATGGATGGATGGATGATGGATGGATGGATGATGGATGGATGGATGATGGATGGATGGATGATGGATGGATGGATGGATGGATGATGGATGGATGATGGATGGATGGATGGATGCATGGATGGGTGGATGGATGGATGATGGATGGATGATGGATGGATGATGGATGGATGGTGGATGGATGATGGATGGATGGATGATGGATGGATGGGTGGATGTATGTTGGATGAATGGGTGATGGATGGATGGATGGATGGATGGATGATGGATGGATGGATGGATGATGGATGGATGATGGATGGATGGTGGATGGATGATGGATGGATGGATGATGGATGGATGGGTGGATGTATGTTGGATGAATGGGTGATGGATGGATGGATGGATGGATGGATGATGGATGGATGGATGGATGATGGATGGATGATGGATGGATGGATGGATGGTGGATGGATGGATGGATGCATGGATGGGTGGATGGATGGATGATGGATG